AGATGGGCGGGTTGAATCTGTTCGCATTTCTTCGTTTGGGGCGGGACTAGCAGAATTCCTCCTTTTGCTCGGGTGCATAATTGGTATGCTCCGGTTGTCGGCAGGGAAGACGTCATCATGACGCTTATCATGACCACTAGCATTAATGGAGAAACTAGTGCATTCGCTGCTCTTCGGAACCGACCTTCTCGGTTTTGGCCATTGAATCGTCCATTTCTTCCGAATCCCCTCTACTATCCTCGTTAGTTAATCCTCTAGAGTTAGGGTTAGGGAGTCTTTGGAAGTTGGGATTAGTGTTGTTGTTTAATTGGTTAGTCTCATGCCTCTCACGGTTATAAGCGTTGGGTTGATAGCCACGGTAAGAATTTGTATTATTTTTGGGGTAGAAGCCATTTCTTCTCTCGTTAAAGGGTCTCCGACCAAATCCCCGGGTAAAATTTTGGTTTTTAGGTTCTCTCGTCTCTCGCCAAGGATTATTTTCCATGTTGCGGAGCGATCTTTCGGTGTTCTCTAGCTGTTGCGTGAATGGGGTTAGGGCCTTGTTGAGTGCGTTGATTAAAAAGTCTTCTTGAGTTCCTCTCCGTAGTATGCCTTCTTCAAATCTTGCTGCCTCGACAGCCTCCCTGTAAGTTTTTGGCTTTGCTCTCTGAACCTCTCTTCGAATATTTTCATTTAATCCTCCTAGGAATGCGTCTCTCAAAACATTGTCTCTATGATGATCAGTATGGTCGAATGCGATTAAACCTAATTGGTTAAGCTTGGCTGCGAACGCGTTTACCGTCATCTCTTTTTGTTGTATCGCTTGGAGGGTCAACAACGCGTCGTCCTTTCTACTAGGTGGACACAGCTTCTTAGAAAGCTGTAGAATCAGCTCATCCCAGGGGCCTAGATCCCGGAGTCTTCCTGGTATCGACTCATAAATTTCGTCTGCTCCTTCCGCTTTTAAAAGGAAAGGTGAGATAGCAAGCTTTTGAGGCACGTTGAATCCCATTACATTGGCGTACTTATTGAATTTATTAACGAAGTCTTTTAAACTATGAGTGCCATCATACGTAGGACAAAAAGGAGAAGTCAGTATGGAGGATAGGCTTGATTTTCCTATTCCGGGTTGTTCTGAGGAATCCATTCTGCTATTGGGAGTTGAGGTTAGGGGTGGGAGGGAGGTGAGATTTCTTTGATCAGGTGCGTCCGATGAACTTGCGGAAGTATCAGGGGATGCGGCGTTTCTCAAAATTGATTCTTGTTCTTCGTCGACGGTTGGTAAACGACTGGTTTTTAGGCGTAGTGGGCTGCGTTTCAGAAATTTCACAAAGGAGTCTCAGTAGTCTTTGAATCTTTTGGGTAGATTTCTTATTTCGATTTGACGAGCCTGGAAGTCGAGAGAACTATTAAGAACTTCTGATGTGTTCAAAACAGAAGCCTTTCTTTTAGCAGTTTTCGAATTTTTAGGGTTTTTCTTATGTTTTAATTTTCTTACTTGTTTTGTTCTCCGTTCCTTTGATGGAGTGTAGTTGTCGTCGCTGGAAGTGGGCGATTTGTCACGTGTAGGCTCGGCTTTGACTGGCTTAAGGTCGTCGTTGGTGATGACTATATCCTGTCCACGTAATTGTTCTCTTGTGCGGCTCGAAACGGGTTGAACTCCTAAGAGTTGCGGAGAATCGTT